ACGGCGGGGGAACCACCCAGGGGTTCACCTCTTGCCTCTTTCCCAGCCCTGTGTTTTTACCGCCTTGTATTTAAACCAGACGTCTTTTATAAGAAGGGGACGTGTCCGCGGACACTCCGGGATTGGGGACAACCATCGTGAGCTGGGGCCCCGCTTGACACTTGCACCCAGCCCGCGTGGGCTGCTTTTGGAGACATTTGGGTGCTTTCTGCCCAGCATCTGCTCCTAGATAAGATCCCCTCTCCCAAGCCCTTGGCACCGCCAACAGAAAAGGCTCTATGCTGGCGGTGCCTCTGCCGGCTCAGTGACTGGGTCTAATTGAGAGGCCAGAAAAATCCAAATAAATAGATAGCCATGGCCGATCAAAGACGTTTTCATGCGGATCAAAAGTGGCTGTGTGCCTCTCCGGGGACGGAGAGCCCCAGTCTCCTGGGGCTTCGCCTGCCCCACAGCATCACCACCTGAAAGGGAAACTGCCCACCTCTAATTTAGGGGTTTATATTTAACCGCCCGGGGCACAGCCGGCGGTGGCGTGGCTGTCTCACAGGGAGGCTTTTCAGATTTTCCTGGTGGAGAAAAGGGAAGAGGGGGAGCGGGTTGGGACCCTTTCAAAGCTTTCTCGATGGCACCGACACTGGTGGTGGGGGCACCCAGTCCCTGTGGGGAGCCCAGCCGGGACGGGGCACGGGTTGCTGCTGTCCCCGGGTTGCTGCTGTCCCCGGGCCCCACACTGCCAGGTGTCCCAAGCTCTTGGGGACGCTGCCGGGGACAGGCTGGGGGTTGTTCCACAGAGCAGGGCACTGGGGCTCAGCACGGTGATTTCTCTGTGATGGCAGCGAACCCAAAGCACCTCCCTCGCCCTCGCCTCCTGCAAAGCGATGGGTCTTGGGGTCTCCAGAGAGCAGGACCTGGTTTCTCCCCCCTAAAGTACTTCCCAGCTGAGGAGACCACAGAGCAGAAAGACTCAAGATCAGAAAAGACGCGCACATGATTGTCACTCTTTTGCCTCCCAAAATCCTTGGTTTGATGTGGGAATCACCTGCGGTTGTGGCTCAGGGTCCCCCCAGTCCCCATCACTTTCCTGCCAATGGAGGGACGGGGTTTCTGCAGGGCAGAAGGTGGCCACAGGGCTCCCGGCTGCTGCTGGACCCGGTGGTGTCCCCATGGTTTGCAGAGTCAGACCTACAGGAAAAATCCCCAGTAGTTTTTTGTAACAAAGCAAAAATTGCACATATTGCACCAGTGAGAACTGGGAAACGGTGTCTGCTGAAGGAAGGAGGAATAAGTTTCTGTGCTGTTGTGCAACACCTCACCGATATACCTAGATGTACTCAGGCTACCCAACCCTCCACCTCTTTCTAAAAGATGGAGCTCTCCCCTCACCCCCAGGACAGTTCCTTCTGCCTGGGCTGAAATAAAAAGCAGTGACCCAAGGAGGGTAACGGGGGGTGAGCGGCTCCATGTGGCTCCTGTCTATGGCAGGCAGAGCCTGCCAAGGGTGGAACCCATCCATGCCAGTTAGCGACAGCCGTACGCATGCAAATCTTTTAAAATTATATCAGTAACTCCCTGCCCATGGCTTCTGAGGAACCCCTGGACATCCTTCAGGCTGGGTATGTTATCACGTGTTGTCCTTGGGGTGGTGGGGCACGCAAGGATGGGATTGGGGTGAGGTGGGAGCCAGGCTGGGCTGTCAGGATGGGATCGGTGCAATTGGGGTTACTATACAGGGGTGACCGGGTTTATTTCTGCTGTAGTGCCAGGTATTGATGAGAGGTTGTAAACGTTGCTTGGCTGTGCAGGCGTTGTATCAGACCGAGGGGTAAGAACAACCTCAGAGCTGTGTGGCCAGGGCTGGAGAGGGTTAAGGGAATAGAGATCTAATCAGAACTGCTCCCTCATCAGTCACAGATGAGTGGCCACATATAAAACCAGATGGGAATATCTATCCATTTACCCGTAATTACTTATTTCCACGCTCGCTCTCACAATCCACACTAGTGATCACAGTTTTCCCATGTAAGCGTGGGGCTGAAAAGTTCTTTGTACTTGAGGGTGAAGCCAGAGACAGGAGCTCCCGAAAACTCTTGGTTCCCCTGGTTCCCATTTAGGGCTCCTGCATTTCAGGGTGGCCAGAGTCCCCAAGCACAATGCTGTCCCCTGCCCTGGGGAGCCCGAGGGGCATTGGGGTGTCTCACCAAGCAGGTGCTTTGGTGCAGCCTGTGCCCCAAAACCCCAGCAGCTTCCCAACAGCCCCCAGGGCCAGGAGAGTTTCAAGGCTTTTTTCTTTTTGGCTATCTGGAAATTACTCGGGTTAAATGTTTCAGATTTCAGCCCCAAGCTCCTTCTCTGGACTACCCCAAAGTGAAGGTGCCATCTGCCTGGCAGAGATGATCTTGGATCTTTCTGGCTCTAACGGAGAGCAGGAGGCTGAGGCGCTGTCCCCGATGGGTGGCACCTGGGCTGGGACGTGCTTCTGTCACCAAGAGGACAGGCGCAGGGGAGCCAAGAGACCGGTGTCACATCTGTCTCTTTAGGCTCCCCAGCCAAGGGAGAAAGGGGCTCTGGGGGTCACCGAGCACCTCACATGTCCCCTCTGCGTGAGAGCAGCCGGAGATGGGGCTGCCCTCGGGCAGCCATCGGGAGCCCTGTGGGCATGTGGAGTCCAGCTGCTGCCCCCGTGCCCGGTGCTCATTTGCACGGGGAGATGGCCCGAGGCAGCTGGAGCAAGCAGGGCTGAGGCGGGAGGAAATTGGTGCAGATGTGTCAGCTGTGGAGGGGAGCCAGGCGCTCGGGGGCAACATGGTGCAGATGGGCAGAGGGGGCAGTTCCTCTCCTCCACGGCAGCAGGACAAGAAACCCACCTTTAACTGTGTGGTAAAGCAGGTTGGGGGCGGGTATTTGGTGCATCAGTAATCTCTGGGTGCAGCCTTCCCGCTGTCCCAAGGACCGCAGAAGGGTCCCTCTCAAGCCCCCGGCGAGCTCCAGGGTTTGTCCCATGAGCCAGTGGCTTCCCTGGGCAACGGGCCTGCAGCAGGGGGGTGGGATGGCCCCGCAAGGGGCTGGGTTGGATCTACCACCCTCAGTCCCCTGCACACCCTGGACGTGCAGATATCTGGTTTGCTGCAGGCTGGGAAAATCTGCTCCCAAACTTGAGATCTGCAGCGGTGGAAATCCCCAGCGGTGCATCCGCTGCCCTTATCACTGCAAAGCAAAGCAACAGATCCCGAGAGCTAGCCAAAACACCCAGCAGTGCCCCCAGAAATGCTGGTTCCCGAGGCGGATGCAGAGTTAGGGATGTCTTTTCCCCACTGAACCTTGAAATTTGTCTCAAATGGCAATTTTTTGTCCCGAACTGCCATTTTGAAATGAAACGGTGATGCCCATTTTGTGTTGACTCCCGCGGTCTTCCCGGCTCCGGTTTCTCAGTGTTGTGTAACCTGTGATGCCCGGCTAGGGCCACGGGCAGTACATCTGTGTTTTGGAGCTAATGCTTTAAAGATAATTCCCTTCTGCGCTTGTCCTAAACTGCAATTTTCAGATGGCTGAAACAGGGACTTTCCTCCAAAACAGCTGCTTTGGTGAAGCTCTCATCCTGATTTCATCTCTCTCTTTCCTGACCCATTTTCTTCTTCCCCGTGAACCCTTCCCAGCTCTTTGTGTAGACCTGGGGTTACCAGATGATGCCACAGCCACCTGCCACGTGCCTTGTACCTATTCCTCTGGTTAAGTGTGGCCCCAGAGCTGCCCCACAAGCAGGATGCAGGTGGGAAGAGCATGCGCGGAGGTGTCCCACAGCTCTTCCCACAAGGCTGCTGCCCGTCAAAAGGTGATGGGACACAGATTATGAGCATCTATGACATCTCCAGGAGGTGCTTTTGCAGACAAGCCTCTCGTAGCCTGCAGTTTCCTCTCCTTAACCCCCCTGTCTCGTCCCCTTAGGAAGAAGACCATCTACAAAACGGTGTGCCTCTCCTTCTTGCTGGTGATCATGGTGACGGTGCTGCAACGGGGAATGGCCCCCAGCCAGTTCATGCAGGGCCAGCAGCAGAAAGAGCTGTCCCCTCCGGAGTCCCTGAAAACGCAGAAGAGAGACAATGCCTTCTCCATCACCAGCACTTTCTGGAAGAGCAAGAAGGAGAAAGCTCTTCTGAAGGAGGAGGAGAGCGTGACAGCAAAGCACGCGAAATCCTGGGATGTCACCACTACCAACTGCTCGGCCAACCAGAATTTCAGCAACATGGACTGGTTCAAAGGGCTGGAGCCCAACTTCCAGCAGTTCCTGCTCTATCGGCACTGCCGCTACTTCCCCATGCTGATCAACCACCCCGAGAAATGCAGCAGGGACGTCTACCTGCTCATTGTGGTCAAGTCTATCATCACGCAGCACGACCGCCGCGAGGCTATCCGGAGGACCTGGGGCCAGGAGAAGGAGGTGGATGGCAAGAGGATCAGGACGCTGTTCTTGCTGGGCACGGCCTCCAAGGAGGAGGAGAGAGCCAACTACCAGAAACTGCTGGATTACGAAAACCACATCTATGGGGACATCTTGCAGTGGGATTTCCTGGACAGCTTCTTCAACCTCACCCTCAAAGAGGTCCATTTCCTGAAGTGGCTGAATATCTACTGCGACAATGTCCACTTCATCTTCAAAGGTGACGATGATGTGTTTGTGAGTCCCAGCAACATCCTGGAGTTCCTGGAGGACAAGAAGGAGGGAGAGGACCTCTTTGTGGGGGATGTCCTCTACAAGGCCAAGCCGATCCGGAAGAAGGAGAACAAGTACTACATCCCCAGCGCCCTCTACAACAAAAGCAACTACCCACCCTATGCAGGGGGTGGAGGTTTCATCATGGATGGGCCCCTGGCCAAGAGGCTGCACAAGACCTCAGAGACGCTGGAGCTGTACCCCATCGACGATGTCTTCCTAGGGATGTGCTTGGAGGTCCTTCAAGTATCACCTATTGGGCATGAGGGCTTCAAAACTTTTGGCATTGTGAAGAACAAGAATAGCAAGATGAACAAGGAGCCATGTTTTTTCCGGAGTATGTTGGTGGTTCATAAACTGCTGCCTCCAGAGTTGCTCCAAATGTGGAACTTGGTCCATAGTAACTTGACGTGCTCGAGAAAACTCAACGTCCTTTAGCTCAGTCTCTCTGGAGAGCTGGGACTGGAGGGGCTGGGACAACCAATCCCTGCTCCGGGATGGGGTGGGCCTCTGCTGGTGACACACAAGTCCTTCGGGGGCATCTCCCTCCAGGGCAAGAAGGGCAGAGACACTGCGCTCGCGGGCAGGGTTTGCGATAGCGTTTGTTCCTGTACTGCAATGTGGTTCACTTATCTCCAGCTGGGTTGGGGGTTGCTGAAAAAGAAGAGAGGGAAAAAAAACCAAAAACCCCACAACAGATCTAGCACAAAATTAAGAGAGAAAGAGAGAAGGCAGAGGGGTTTGTGCTCTGCTTTAGGTACCACCTCCAACAGAGCATGGTGAAAGGCGGGGTGGGGAGAGGCAGGAAGGGAGGTGGCACAGGCATTTTTTGGAGATGTTCAGGGTCTGGCTATCCAGGGAAGCCACTCCAAGGGAGTTGAGCAGTTTACAAGTGCATGAGCCCCCCCCAACTCAAAAGTCAAGGGGATTTTTATTTGTTATCGCAATTTTCTCCTCCATGCAAGGTTTTAGTGACATTGACCCTGTTGTGTTCACCCCTGCCAAAGTCCTCTCTGTGTCCCCACTACGCAGCTGGGGAAAGGGGCTCTCCTCCGAGGCTGGACCTCGCCAGCCCTGAGCCCCCATTAGGATTTCAGCCAGGCAGTCGGGTGATTAGGGGCTTTGTTCCCGGTAGAGGGTCCCAGATGATGGTGGCTCCCAGCGCCAGCCTGGGCTGTGCTTGGTTCCTCAGCCCCTCTCCTGGCCTCGCTGTGTGTGCACTTGGAGGAATGCACCTAGGCGAAATTCCTCAGGGATTTGTTCCTTCTGCCAGGAAAGGAAAGGGAAGGAACGAGGCGGGCTGCCCTTGCCCACAGCCAAGGAAGCGGCAGAGAAACCCAGTCGGCCCTGGCTGGAGCAGCCCAGGGGCTTATCACACCTGGGACCCTGGCTTGGGTGCAGGAGCCCGTGGGGCTTGCTGCAGGGAGACCCTCTCCTTGCAGCAGAGCTGCCCTGGTGGGATTGCCTTGGAGGGGGACAACAGTCCCCGAAGACCCCATGTGTGCCCGCTTCGGACCCAGCCCCGGTTTTGCAGCAAGCGCGACGCTCCAGGGCAGGTTAGAGAGCATTGGTCTCACCCCAGCACACGGAGCAGGGTCCAAGGGGACAAGGTGAAGGAGGGCTGGTGTTTCACACCATGTCTGCTCCTCTCAGGGTTGTTGCAGTGTTTATTCTACAGGATGAGGCCAAGGAGCACAACAGGGAGTGGTATCGTGAGACATGGCCCTTTTTCTTTGGGCTGAAAAGGCCACTGGAGCTGTTGAGGGGAGCCCCGAGCCAGCTGCCGTGATGGAAACCCCCCGACACAGAGACACACGTGGCCACGCATGGGGTCACAGATGCTCTCCAGCCACCAGCTGCAGGTGTGAACAAAGCCACAGGCATGTGCAAAGCCACACGCGTGCACGGGCACTGGCGTGCCAGCTCCCAGGCACAGGCTCTGCACACGCAGGTGTCCCTGCGTGCAGGGCTTGCACGCCCAGGTGTCCCTGCATGCAGGTAGACACGCACAGCCACATCCATGGCCCTGACCACGCACAGCAAAACAGGCACATGTGCACTCTCTCTCTCTCTCTCTCTCTCTCTGCTGCCAGACATTGAAAGGAAAAAATTTCGACTACCTCAAAGGTCCCCCTGTGCAGTGCCTTTTTTTTTTTTTTTTCCTTTCCTTTTCTTAATGTGTTTTGGAAACGGGCCTGTTTAATTTACTCCAAGTCTGTATGTTCTCCAGGTTAGAAAACAAACAAAAAAAGGGCATAAACCAGCCAAAAAAGGCACCCTTCCACCAAGCCACGCCACTTCCTGGCAAATGCCCCTTATCTGCTCAGACAAGCTGCAAATTTGAAGAGGAGGGAGAGAAAGAGCCCGTTGCTGCCCCGGGCTCGGCCGTTGGTACCGGGGCTGGCGGTGATACTGTGAAATTTGATTTTCAATGCACCCAGCGGCACTGTCCCTGGGACAAGTGCAGGCAGTGCAGGGCAGAGCCCCGAGGGCATTTTCGCTGCCTGCTGGGCAGCTTTCCCGTCCCCTCCCTCCTTCCAACGGGAGCGAGTTCAGAAAGTTTCCAAATTGACACCTCCGTAATTTATGTCAGGTACAGTTCATTAGGCTGTATATTTATCCTATATGCAGGGGACAGCTCTCGCTCTCTGTAGCAATGCGTACAGCGAGCCAGGGCTGCGTGCAGAAATCTCAGTGTTGCTTTTCACCTGGTGGGACCTGTACAGAGAAACCTTGTAGGATTCGGTGAATATTCTAGTTTCTAAATAAAGGTTAAAAGAAGGAGAAGAAAAAAAAAACCCAAGCCCTCACCTCGTGTCATTGCTGGTGGGTTTCTGCTGGCCAAGACAGGCCGGCTAGTTGGGAACAAAACCTGGTAATGGACTACAGTGGCAAAACCACTGCTTGGAGCAGGCATTTGGGGGCTGTGGCTGCCCTGCGGCAGCTTGGTACAGCTTCCTTGTGGAGCCTGGCGTGGCGTTTAACAAGGGCTGGCAGATATTTTCTCTCTTCCATGCGCTCCTCCAGCTGCATTTCAAACCCAGCTAAACTTCAGATGTTCTCCTGGCGCCCTGCAGCAAGGAGCTTCTCATTTCGACTTCTGTGGGAAAAGCCGCTTCAGCAGGTTTGGAAACTCACCTGTTTCGTTGAACACCCTGTGCTCCTCACACTGAAGGAGCTCGCCACCTCGCTGGCCCTATCACCCTCTCCACGGCAGGACCACGCTCACTGCCTTTTTTCCCCCAACCAAAGCACCACCACAGGGTGACACATCCCTTGGCCGTAGCACATGCCACGGGTCAGCAGCAACTGCAGAGCAGAGCGAGCCACGTCTGCAGGGACAAGCCCGCGTCAGGTTTGAACCTGGCTGGGGTGAAGAGGAGGAAAGCCATGCAGGAGCCCATAGGTCTCACCTTGGTGTTTCGGCACTGGGGGCTCGGTTTCCAGGGCTGGCACCTGGCTCGGCCAGTTGACGTGCTGACGCGGAGCAGAGAGGCCAGCAATGGGGACCCGGCTCTGCTGGACTCGGCAGGCTAGGCCACAGGCCACCGGGGCCAGCTTCCCTGTGGCACCAGAACTTTCACAGGAGGGGACAAAAGGGAAATGCTGAGCGGACACACTTGTGGATGCTCTTGCCCTTTCCCTCTCCAGTGTGACCCAGGGCTGCCTCCTCCCGCTGGGGGACTCCTCCCCAGGGTACAAGCAAATGCTCCAGCCAGGGATCCAGAGTCCCGTAGTAGAAGTAGGGCCCATATTCCGGTGTGGAAGCGGGGCTGGGCCCCACGGGGCAGGGATGGGGTCGACTCCAGGACAAGGAGAGTTACAGCAGGGATGCAGGGTGGGAAGGATGCCGCGGCCCCAAATCCCTCTGTTCAGCCTCCTTCGCACCTAAGTGGGGGAGGTCT